AAAAAGGCGCAATAAGGTGTTCTTCGTTCGGAATAAGGGGCCCATGGAGGGCAGCAGAAACGCGTCTCGGCCCCCACCCGAGGGAGAAGCTGCTGCGAGTGCGAAGAAATAGAAAAGAGAGAGCTATTCCCGTCATGGTTCATGATGGTCGTCAAAAGTCTTGGCTCAATGCTGCAACAGGTGAGACTCGTCTAAGAGGGACTGCGGACGAGTCATGGGACGTCACAAATCCGGGGCCCCTTCAAATCTCCGTCAATACCGATTTCTTGGGATCGTCTACTCGGGTTCGGTAGCGACCGGTTGGCATTACTAAGGGCGGATGTTGTCCAGAGTCCGGAGTATATTAACACGTTGTGCAGCCCCGTGGTGATGGTCGTGAAGCTTACGAGGAAGAGAAGAAAGCTGCGCAACTTGGCTGACTAGCGAAGCATAATTGTCGGATCAGCAGATCGCCTCACTCTTTTCAAACACCAGGACCAAAACGTCCCGGATTCCATTCGTTTTCTGTCTCTTGCAGCAGCGAGTCGCAATACCTTGACTGATTCCCACACCATCTCGGTTGCGTCGACCTGCCTGTTTTACTTGGGATTATCACCAAGTTCCGCTCATTACACCAGTCGCCCACTCATTCGCGATAGCTCCATTCTTTTTCCATCTCAACCTTGGGTGAGCACATTTTCCGTCTGTCTCTTCATCTCTCCTGAGCGACAAGCCAAGTCCTTTAGCTTGGCTTATCAAATCGGCCACTAATCCTCCGAAAAAAAGGTTCCTCGAATCAAAACACAACCATGCGCTCCTCATCTCCTTTGAAGAGCCTCTTGGCAGGCTCGGCCTTCTGGGCCGCCTCCTGCAGCGCCGTCACGCTCTACGCGGCCGACTCGGGCGGAAATGTCACGACGCTGTCGCTGGCCGGATCCGCCGGGGGCAACTACAGCTTTTCCGTCGCCAGCAAGACGGTAGACTGCGATGTCAACCCTTCCTGGCTGACCCTCGACGGCGCCAGCAGGGTGCTCTACTGTCTCGACCGCGGCTCCAACTCGCAGCCCAACGGCTCGCTAAACTCCTTCTCCATCGGGGAGGGCGGCGCCTTGACCCGCATCGCCCGTGTCTCGGCGCCCTTTAGCGGCGTCGCTGGCGAGATCGTCACCACGCCCGCTGGCGTCCGGGGCTATGTCTCTGCTTCATAGTAAGTACTCACACTATCTTTCACAAGTCCTTCCTCCGAGTCGTCGTTCTCCGAGCTTGCAAGCTGTGAAGATGGGATGATTATTCGCCCGTCCTTCATCTCATGGTGGTCCAATCGGCAACACCATTCCTCCGTTCCCCAGAAATCGAGACCCCCATCTGCGGATATGCGGGACTCTCTTATCCACCTGCCCCGACAAGTCTAGAAGGGAAACAGTAACATCAAGGGATACCAAGCTCACATATCTCGGTAGCAACCGAAGCGCAGCGGCCGTCTTCGCCCTTGGCGACAAAGGCGCCCTCCCCGGCACCGGCCCCCTTCAGGAGATCTTCCCGACGCTGGACCAGCCCGGCCCGGTAGCCTCCCGCCAGGACACCTCCTACCTGCACCACGTCATCAACGACCCCAAGGGCCAGTACGTGCTCCTCGCCGACCTGGGCGGCGACAAGGTCCGGGTCTACTCCTACGACTCCAACACCGTGGCGCCGATCAAGGAGGTCGACGGCCTGGTCACCGGCCCCGGCGTCGGCCCCCGCCACGGCGTCTTCCGCACCGCCGCCAACGGCGACGTCTTCTTCTACTTCAACGGCGAGCTCGACCAGAACATCTACTCGTACAAGGTCGAGTACAAGGAGACCGGGCTCGCCTTCACAAAGGTCTTTTCCATCCCGGCCATCAGCGCTGACCTCCCGGCGACAAAAGCCCCGACTAGCGAGATTGCCCTCACTGTAAGTTTTAATCTGTTCCACTGTTCCCACATTCTTCATCTTCCTCTTTTGGGCCCCTTGCAGGCAGGCCTGCCGATCATTTTCTGGGCCTTATTTTAAATGCCGTACCGAGTTGAATTTTCGTTTAACTTGTACCACCCGGCCGCATTCTGCTTCCGGATTTGTAATGTTTTACACGTCGAACAAAAGATCATTTTTGGCTGACCACGTGGGGGCAACTTACAACAGCCGGACAACAAGTTCCTCATCGTCTCTAACCGCGACGTCTCCTTCCGCGACTCTCCGATCCTCGGCTCCGGGCCCTCGGACACGCTCTCCACCTTCGCCATCAAGGAGGACGGCACCCTGGAGCTGGTGCAGCTCGCGCCGTCGGGCGGCTGGTCGCCGCGCCAGTTCTCCATCAACAAGGCCGGCGACCTCATCGCCGTGGGCCACCAGAACAACCGCACCGTCGTCATCTGGAAGCGCGACCTCGAGTCCGGCAAGATCGTTCCCGAGGCGGAGGGCGGCAAGGTCGGCGTGGTTACGCTTACGGGCGCTGTCGTTGCTACCATCTGGGACGAGTAGATGACGCAAAGAGGAAGAGGTTGAGACGCAGTCAGGTACAGACATTTGGCAGGTTGATGCATTGGGCTCGGGTGCATGTTTGGGCAGCGTCGGCGTCAGTTTCTAGTCTTGATAAATTGAGATCTGTGAGGCAACTCGCATTACCTCGCCTTGGTTCTAGCGGTGACTTCCCACTACTGCCTCTGACTTGTGCCAACTACTTGTATCCTAACACTAAAGTGTGGTCACATTGAGTTTCGCCTGTGCCGCATGAGGCGTTCATCAGATGAACATGTAGTAGCTCCAGCCGGTGGGCTTGTGGAGGCGTGTATCTATCTCCGACTGAATCGCCAAAACCACGGAATCCCAAGATGTAGATGGCATTGAGTCTTTTAGAACTCAAGTATTCAATCGCCGAATCACTTGTTATCGTCTTACATTGCAACATTTTCAAGCTATTTTAGCTGTGACTTTTGAAAAAACCTGGATCAGGACCGCAATAACTTGTCATCGAGTGTTCTTCGTCTCTATCTATAAATATTTGAGCTTGTGATCCGCTTCACATTCATAAGTACAGTTGGTAGCTTCGCATCAGCGAATGGGATACCAAGCGTTCACTATCACCAAGATCTTCTGACACGATGTTTCAAAGAGAGAAGACTTCTGAAACTCGTTATGAGGAATTGCTGTGGAAACGTCGGACTTTGAACCCGCAATGTGGGTGCAAGCAAGTTGGTTGCAGAAACGCAGCAGGAGGGCTTATTTCCCCGCGGCGATAGCGGTCCGCGGGGATTGGGTACTCACCCTAGCCACATACATTCAGATCAGTAGACCAATCTCACGAGTTTCTGAGGCCCACAACATCTTATCTTCCTGTACCTGTTTCCTTCCGACAAATTATCCCCGACAAAGCGGTGTTCTCTAGTCATTGACCTCGTCAAGACGGCCGCTTGAACGGAGTTTCCCTCGCTGCGGACACCGTTCAATAACCTCACCTGTCTTTTAAGATTGCATTGTCAAGTCATTGACGATCAACAGCCCAAACTCCCTAAGTCCGGTCTGTCATGACTCGCCCCACGCCCCAGCGCAAGTCCAGACGCATCACCCAGGCATGCGACTTCTGCCACAAACGGGGCATCAAATGCCGGGCTGCCCCGGCAGATGCGTCGTCTGCCGGCAACAAGTCATGCTTGACCTGCATTGAGTACGACCAAGAGTGCACGCGGCACCGCCAGCCCAAGAAGCGGGGCACGAAACCGCGAGGCTCTGAAGGTAGTCACGACGGTGGCAAAGACAGGCGCTGTCAATTAGACAACCGCAAGGTCGTGACTGCGCTGCTTGATGTGTACTTGGATACGATACATCCAACGTAAGTCTTCGCTTATTCGCGATCGTCGTGATCGTTGCTCATCTGCTCTGCAGGTTCCCGTTCTTCTGCGAGAGAGAGCTATGGGTTGGTTGGAGAGAGGGCACATTCCCATCCGGCTCGTCGGAGTACATGAGTCTCATTTGCATGTGCGCTCTAAGTGCTCAACATGTCGGAAAGCGGGCCCTGTTCACCGACGACATGGCTCCGTCTGACTTCGCAAGTCTCGCGAATGACTATCTTCAGGAGGCTATGCGACTTGTGCCTGTTGATTTTGACAGTCCGGACATCGATCTTATACGTTCACATGGCCTCTTAGCTTTACTTGGGGTGCAGGAAGGTGACACCGCCATGATCCATAAATATCTGGCACTCTATCATGGCATGTCGGCCCGGTTCAGCTTACATGATGAATCGCGATGGCCGGGTGACACAACGGAATGTGATAGAGAGGTCAGACGCCGTCTTTGGTGGGCGCTGTATCGACTAGAAGTGCACACAGCTTGTGTTTTGGGCAGCCTCATTCGTTGCCCCGAGGCTCATTCTGACGTTGGCTATCCTTGTGGAACACATCATTCAGCATTCATGCCCGGCCGAGATGGGAAGTTTGAGAATTGGTTTGAGGGATGGAACTTGACGACTGATTTGTACCGGGTTCTTGAGCACGCAATATCGGATTTCCGAACGCGGAAGCAGAATCGGAAGTCAATACTGCACAACAACCACGACTCTAGTAAATCTAGAGAAATCTCGAAAACTCTTTCCAGGATTCAGGCGGAGTTGTTACCCCATTTTGGTAGCGCAACCACTCGGTCGAGCGACAGCGGGAGGAATCGGTGCGGCTTCCAGGCGGCGAATATTCTGTGCACTATCCACCTAGCCAGGATGCTCTCGACAGTATCAGAAGAAAACAACCTCCATGCAGCATGTAAAACAGCGGAAGAAATGATGCAGAACATGGAGGCGATACCCTTAGAGTACATCCGAGCTGGTGGGTCGCCTCTTGTTCAGCAGCTTGGCGGTGTTGGCCATATGTTGATTGGCGTCTCGATTAAGCACAACTTATCCCAGTCAGATTACGATAAGTCAAAGTACCCACTTTTCGACCACCCCTGCTTTTCGACCGCCATGAATTGACGCCATCGCAACCACCACCACTTTATTCAATTAATTATCAACTACCTCTTGAAGCCATAATAATGCAACTTTCGGCCTCAATGGGTAATTCAGATGCGCTGGATTCATCTGAATCATTTTCAGCTTCGCCAGCCTCAATCTGGGCTTGCCGTATCTCTTTGATTGTCGCAAACTTCGTATTTGGGTCCAACTGAACAGCCTTCCTCTTCCTGCTAGCAGTGTTGGCAACCTTGGCCTCTAGAAGCTCTATCTTTTGCTGGGCGGTAGCTAGGGCAAAGGACTGCTCTTGGAAGCCTTTTTTTACCTTCCTGAAGAGCTGGCGTTGTGTGGCGATGTTTTGTTCTAGTTGGCTGAATATGTGTAGTTGGTCCCCTAGGTCCTTCACCTTCCTTGGCGTAGACCACTTCACAGCAGATGAGGCTGACGCCCAGCCCTCTATACTATGGGCATCCTGGGCTATATGTTTATCTCTGGCAACCTTGTTGAGTGGTGTTGATGGTGTTGTTATTGATGATGTTGCCTTCTGAACCAGCAGCCTATTCATAAGCGGCTTTGCAATAGCAACAGGCCATAACCTAGTGTATTTCCAGCCACTCTTGATATTGCCTGCAGTCAGCCCAACTAGGCGAGCCTTTTGATAGCAGGAAATGAAGTTCCTTTTGCCTATAACAGTAGAGTTGATCTACTGACTAAGATATCCCAGCTCTTTCCTATATGCTGCCTTGACAGGGCTGAAGACTGACTGGTTAAGTGGCTGGAGGACATGGGAGGTATGTGGAGGCAAGAATAACAGATAGATGTTATTAGTATAGCATAACCACATAAAATCTGTCGTTGTATAGCTCCTATGGCCATCTAGGATAAGGAGTCTAGCTTGGTTAGGGCTAGAGGGCTTGGTTTGGGGGATAAAGACCCTTTCTAAACATTCAACAGCAGTAGCATCAGTAGTCCACCCATTCTCTGTTGATATGAACTCCCATCCATCATATAGGCCAAGTTCTAGAGGAAACCACTGCTGTTAAACTGTCTTGCCCTTATATATAACCAAGGGATGGATAGCAGCGCCCCCAGCTGATATACACTTAATAATAGATACCCAGGCTTGCGAACCAGGCTGCTTCTTCCTTACTGACTTAGTCGCAGCACTGCCTAGCACTAGCCTATTATCCCCTTTACCCTCAAGGATACCAGTCTCATCCATATTATATCTGTTGGCTGGTTTGATGGCCTGGATGTGAGGTATGGCGAGATATTTGAACCAGTCCCTGATAACCTCAGTAGATGCCCTATTAACACGCCTCGAATCAATAGATCGACTTCTCTGGACCTTGATAGATGGGTTTCTTCTTATAAAGCCATCTACCCACCTCTTGCCAAGAGGTTGGGTGTCCCCTATAGCTTAGAGGATGCGATGGGCGAAGTCCTTCAGTTGTTGATGGGTTGGTGGCAGCCCAAGGTCTGCCTGGGCAGTCACCCAAGTGGCCAGCAGAGAGCCTCTGGAGGTCTTGAAATGCTTCTTGCCTTGGTTGGTGGCCTTTGGTACGGCTTATAAGCGTTGATCGTGGCACACCCCATCGCTTGGAGGCAGTGCGAGTAGATATACCATTTTTGATGTCGTTAAGCGCCTGGATAACCTCATTTTCGGTATACTGTTTCATTGTATAATAAAAAAGATATTCTGAAAGAATGATGGAAATTGATGAAGGATTGAAAATGTTGTGGTAGTTTGAAAATTGGGTATAGTAGTTAATGGGGTGGCTGGGCGGCATTTTATGGGTGGTCGAAATGCAGGGGTGGTCGAAAAGTGGGTGCTTTGACTTAGTTTCAAAGGGGTTCTCACGTCCATGATAGACTTCCTGGAACGCTTAGAGAAATACAGCAACGTTGCTGTAGCCGCAAGGCAACGTCTAATATCTCGACTTACGGACGTAGATCGGCGGGCATCTGCGTCAAGTCAGGAAATCACGAGCGAAACTGGACCGCAACTTGCATGGCCTCCGTTTTCGGAGACTATGTTGAATGAAGGACAGGACGGTGACATTTTCTCCACAGCCCTTTTGAACAGCTTTACTTGGCCTTATAATACACCGGGACACGAATGAGAATTGCGATTAAGCTGAATTTAAAGATTCTTATGTGAAGGCCAAATTATTCTGTAATTCGACTCAAGAACATACGAGGCCATTATTTGATTGCTTCTGATCTGCCTTAGAATTCCTAGTGTTTGTCGACTTCTGCTTGTTCGTTCGGAAGGCGTAATACTCCCCGCCAGTCATGATTGGATACTTCATGGGATTCTCGTCGCTGATACAAGTCGGCACAGGCTCCAGCACCTTCTGCCTGTCGAAGCCAAAGAAGAACGGGGCCGAGTACCTCTCTCTACCGCTCTTGTTGATGACTCGATGGATTGTCGACACGAAGAAGTCGTTCGTCTGCCTCATGAAGCAGTCGGCAATATTGACAACAAACGAGCCAGGGATAGGCTCTGCCTTCACCCAGTTACCAGTTTTGCTAAGCACCTCCAAGCCCCCTGAGGTATCTTGAGTGACGATGGTGAAGCACTCCACATCAGTGTGTGCGCCGATGCCATTCTGATCGTCCACTGAGTGCTTCTGCTCGGGGTAGTGCAAGATGCGCATGCCTGCCTCTGGACGCTTGATATACTCGTCAAAGTAATCTTCAGGCAAGTGCAGAGCGAGCGCAAAGATGCGAGTCAGGCGACGAGACAGACGAAGCAGCTCGGTATGATAGGCGTAGAGGTTTTCGCGGAATCCGGGCACGTCGGATGGCCAGATGCTGACTGACTCTTCGGTCTCGTCAACTGCCTCTGGATCTTCTCGGGCATCGTAGGCCCAGTTGAAGGCTTCGCTTAGATCTTTCACGGCGTTTAGCAACACAGACGTGGTTGATCTAGGTAATGGCGGCCTACCTTGGTGCTTCCACCCGTTTCGGTTGTAGTACTCCATTGGATGAAAACCGACGTACTCGTTCGGCACGAGGCCGGTGAAGACTTCCATCTTCTTCTCTTCGGGTAAGGCGAAGAAGCGCTTGGCTTGCTCCATAGTCTCATCCGCGAATCTTTGGTCGATTCCCTGGAACATTGAGTCAATTGAGACTCCCACTGCCGTCATCCACGGTCCAGTACTTACATGATTGATCAAGTAGAAGAACCCAATGTCCCTTGAGGCTTCTCTAATCTCCTGGGCAACGGCTTCTCGTTCCGTGATGTCGTCACTCCAGATGCCCGCAGCGTCAATGACCGGGATCTTCTCAAGGTTTGCAGAGACGTTCGAGTTGAAGCTGAATACTGTCCCGTTATGTAAAGTTACGGTCCGCTTTCCGGAATGAGAAATCGTTTCTGTTTGAGACATGTCGAGATCACTATTGATTATGTTACGCGACTGGGGATAAGGTTTCCGAAGGAAGGCGCTGTTGCACGGTAAGTGAGCTTCTGGGTTTTGATGAAAGCCTCCCGTCAGTACTTATAAGCTGTAAATGAAGACGTCACTTCGAATTTCTGTAGATGATAAAATGGTTTGATAGGAGCTCGTACTGTTATTTCGGAAGAACTGATCAACTCTTCGACATCAGCTCGAACTGCGGGGCTACCACGGACATGCAAGCTTATCGCGGGGCATACGACTGCTAAACTGGTGAACTGGTTAACTGCTGTCCTTGGAGATGCAAGCTCTCCCATTGGTCATGAACGTCTGCATGGGTCCACAATCATCATGGAAGGGTATGATCTGCCGGGGTCACGAAGAGGGGCCTCTCCGCTATCTTTGCAGTTCTCGGTATCGAGAGACCGATCTTTATCACAACTACAAAGCATGCTTACACCCGACAAATGCTCGAGGCGGGCACCATAGAAACGAAAATGTACTTCTTATCATTCTCGACGAAAGATTGTCTTGCCGAGAGATCAACAGCTATCTATAAAATGAAACCTCCCGAGAAAAATACACTCTCATGCTGGCTTCAGAGAGTTGAAAACTTCATAGCCGGCTCTCTCGCTTTGGGTCAAATCGACAGCAACGATTAGTGTTGAACGATGGCGACATCAACCCCTTTGAATCGTCGCCTCATCAGACGCATCGAGGTAAATCGAGATACGGATACAGATGTGGACATCTACGTCAACAAAGACACGCGGCCGTTGCCCCCTTCTCGCCGCACATATGGCCCATGGGAGTTCGTTGGCCTCTGGATGGTGACAGGCTCTTTCAACGTTGGAGGCTGGACTACAGGATCTTCCCTCATCTCTCTGGGACTGAATGTTTGGGTAAGCGTCGTCTTTCTCTGTGGCTGCCGCCTCACAGAGGCAATTAATTGACTAATCAATGAGCATAGCAATCTATGATTGCCATCATCGTCGCCCATACCTTTGTTGGCTTTGTCTGCATAGCTGGCGGCCACCCTGGCGCAAAGTGGCACATTGGCTTTCCCCTATGAATGAAGCAGAACTGGGGCATCTGGGGCTACCTCTTCCCAATGGTATGTCGCCATTCGGAGGCTCAAACTAATTCCTCTGACATGCCGGCTAATAACAACGAAGGCCATCCGCGTTTTCTTATCCTTTGTCTGGACAGCCACCAACACGTGGTACGGAAGCCAATGCCTAAAGGTTCTTTTGACATGCATCTGGCCGTCCTTTCTCAATCTGGACTCAGAGCTTGCGGATGGTACGATGAAGACGTACGACCTCGTATCCTTCGTACTCTATTTGCTCCTGTGCCTCCCAATGATCTGGTTCAGCCCGGAAAAACTATCGCAAACCATTTCTGATCGCCTCCACAACTGTTGCTACAACCGTGTTTGTACTTCTCATCTGGTCCACCGTGCGAGCTGAGGGAGGAGGTGTCCTTGTCGCGGATGTTAGCAAGGTCTCGGGTGTCAAGCCAGCTACGGGAGGCGATCTCGGTTGGGCCTTCGTTGCAGCTGTTACGGCAAATATTGGGGGCACCGCCACGCACATGTGGTCTCAGTCGGACTACACGCGATACGCACGAAAGCCGGGAGATCAGGTCTTGGCGCAGCTAATCATGGTACCTTTGGGAACCATCATTGTAGCCTGCGTCGGGATCATCTGCACTTCATGCGCGGCGACGCTGTACCCCGATGAGGGCAAGCTCCTGTGGCAGCCCTACGCTTTCCTGGAAGCCGTGCGTAAGAACGAAGATAACTCTGGTGCCCGAGCGGGCATCGCGTTTGCGAGCATCGCCTTCATGTTCTCGCAGTTCGGCATGGTTGTCGCATCCAATTGCGTGGTCGCCGGAATCGACTTAGCCGCCCTGCTACCGCGTTGGTTCACGGTCCGCCGCGGGGGCTATTTCACTATTGTCTTCGTGTTCATTATGCAGCCCTGGGCGCTCCTCAACAGCGCTAGCAACTTCTTGACTGTCGTGGGCAGCTTCAACGTTTTCCTCGGCCCGCTCATGGGGATCATGTTCGCTGATTACTTCCTCCTCCGCAAGCGGACAATCAAGTTGACCGACCTCTACGGGAAGTCGTCCAACAGCATCTACTGGTACACCAAGGGATGGAACTGGCGTGCAGCAATCGCCTGGTGCCTGGGCGCGTGGCTGTTCATCCCAGGTCTGGCGCAGCGAGCTGTTGCTGCAAGCGAGGTATGGGCGGGCTGGACGAGGCTTTATCAATTGTCGTGGTTTGTGGGCTGTCTTGTGTCAGGTCTGATATACCTCCTCCTGGACTATTTGTGGCCCATGCCGGAAAAACAAGCGGTGGACGACCTTGATTATTTTGGCACATTTGGGGATGCGCCCGTCCTACGCGGGGTGGCTGAGCTCGACGCCATCTCCACGATGTCTGGAGCTGTGGACATTGACGAGAAGAATTCCGGGGCGGGCGGAGAGAAAGTCCAGACCGTCTGACGCCAGTGGCATATTTTCGTGTCTATTACCTTTTCCGTCGTTCACTCATCACATCATCTAATCTATCTGCCCATATATTCAGCCACACGCGCACGAGACTAGTAACCCAATGTCTCAGATCTCCGTCAATGTTGACACCTCAACGCATCATGTTTCCTTTGCCTTTTGCTCTTCTGTCTTTCTTTCCAGAGCTTGAACGGCCGCATTCTCCAGATGAATTTCCCCATGATCGGTGCATCGTACAAACGGCAGCTCGATCCTAGGTAGGTATGCCGTTTGCATAAAAGAGCTAAACTGTCCAAGACATCAGCCAAAACCCACTGACTCAGGGCTCCGATTGGTCCAACCTTAAGCCACAGCTGTGGACGGCGTCTGCGGGTAGCTTGCACCAATTTGGTTGAAGATCGCATTTCTAGAAGGTGAACATGCCCAGTAGACATGTGAGCTGGTGCCGCTCCTCTCCCCGAGTGTCAAGCTTTCCTCAAGCTTTCTTCAAGCTTCTCGCGAGTCTGTCTCATGGGTCATCCTTCCCGTCGTGCCGTCAACCTACTGCATCTGCCATACTTCAGCCGGAAAGACTGTATTCATACCGTCTTTTAACCTCCGCCCGTGACTCAAGACTGCTGATCTTGAGTTCCTGTGCTCAAGTGCCGACCCCAATACTTTCTTTTCCCGCCCTCTTTAAAGTTCCGCCGGACGCCGCGTGGACGTAGATCCTAGCCGCCCCCCCTACGCATCCGTGCCCCCTTGCCGTCGACCGCCGTAAAGGGGCCAGGCCCAACGCCGCTAGGGATCCTGTTCCAGCAATAGAAGACGAAGGATTCTGCCCACGATCTTCTCTGTTTTTTCGCAACCTACCTTGATCTTGTTTCTGCTGCCCGCCGCCATGTCGCCCGAGTAGAGAGTGGTGGACCTCGTAAACGGACTTCAATCCCCATCGGAGCATGGTGGATGCCGACGTCGACATCGATCCGAACCGACCTCGCCGCGTTCTTGCGGTTGCCATTCTCTTTCTCTGCCTCACGCCCATCGCCGTCGCTCTGCGGTTGTACTCGAAAACTTTCATCACGCGAACCGTGACCTCCGACGACAAGCTTCTTTGCCTGCTCCAAGCTGTTTTTACGGTGTTTTTGGTCACCGAAATCCTGGGAGTGGTGCATGGTACGGGCCGCGATTGACGGAAAGCTCTCCAGGTACGTTGCAGACTTGGGGTCCACCTCTGCGACAGGTCTGGCGACAACAAAACGAAATTACCGGACTGCTTTGTTGACTTCCAACGTGCAGTACTTCTTTGCTGGCGAACTCCTGTATCTCCTCACGACAATCCTCCTGAAAGTCTGCGTCGGCATCCTACTTCTGCGCATCGCGATCGTCCCGACGTACATCTGGATTCTGCGAGCACTGCTGCTGTCGACGCTGGTGTTTGTGTTTCTGTACCTGTTCCTCGTCGCCTTCCAGTGCCGACCGGTACACTTATTCTGGGACGAGGGTCCTCGTACCCCAGGCCATTGCTTCTCGAAAACCGTCGTTCTCGGCACCACATTCACAGCCGCCACACTGAACTTGCATTGCGGACTGGGCATTTGGGGTATTGTCCTTGTTTATTGTGTGGTCGTTGGACCTGCGCAAAAAGACCAAAATTCTGGTTGTGCTCTTGCTGGGGTTTGCTTCAATGTACGTTTCCCATCTCGATGGTTTGGTGGCATGCGCAACACCCAACCTTCCGCTCCGGTGGCATAACTATGATTGGGGATGGAGATGCTAACATGGATTGACTTTTTGCAGCGCAAGTATCGCCACTATTATTCGAGCGGTGACAGTACCGTCTGTATTGAGCGAGGGAAACTTTCTTCGTACGTCAATCGATCTGCCCATGCACACCAAAACTTTACCAGCTTGGAGGGGAACGAAGCCCATGAATGGCATTTAAAACGCGTGCTTACTCTTTCATTACACAGGAGAGACCGCCAACTTCGCCATTTGGAGCACTGTCGAACCTGGGATTGGTATCACCGCTGCTTGTGCACCGAGTCTCACGCCTCTCGTCCGACAGTTGTGTGGAAGGAGGCAGCGGGAGGAGCAGAGTAGGGGGCCTTGGAGAACTAGATCGTTGCCAACCATCGAGTTAACCGGCGTAACGAGCGAGACGACGACCGACACGATGTCTAAGAACTTTTTCAGAGGCTCTCTCTCTCGGAGCGAGCCATCGCCATCGATGGAGATGCCGAGGTTGCGTTTTGACGACTTCACCTACGAATCACGAATCTCAGGCCCAGATTCACGATCCTGCCGACCAACAACGAACAGAAATAGGGCGTCCTGGACTTTCCCGCTACGATCAGGGTCCGGGTCGTCGTCTTCCTCTTCTTCTGGGTCGGAGTCCTGCACCGCCACAGCAGGAAAGTCATCTACTGCGAGTGTTGGGGTTCTTCCCGAACCTCCATCTTCAGGTATCATGAAGACGATGGAGATTGAACTGTCATACGAGGACAGGACATGGACAAAACAAGGACGGATGATGCCACGAGATGAGTGCATGCTACGACCGCACTCTTTATCGGGCTTCAGGAGGTTGACGAGTGGGGAAGTACCCCTTTTACCGGATATCGATAGCAACAATTTGTCACCGTTGTCTGCAGACTTCGACCTAGAGTCTGGTTTTGATTCAACGACGTTCAGATATTCATCTCCCCCTGAGGCGAGCTGGCATTGGTCGGACAGCAGCGGTACTAGAGAAACCTCAGAGCATACACTGGGATTGCCATCCCCAACAGAACAAAGTAGGCAGGATAACGGGCAACTTGGGGATTCATGAAAGGTTTCTGGGAAGGCGATGACTACAGAGGAGTTGGGACGGGATTACGAACACGAATATGAATGTGATGATATTTGGAGTTTTGAAACGCTTGGCCATTCGGTCTTGCTGAATTGAACACAATTCAACACAACAACCAGGACTTGGGAGAATGAGAAGGCGCCACAAAACTCCCGTTGAATTGTGTCCCGGAGTCCCGTTTTTGACCCCCACTTCCGAGGTTGACGCTCTAGAGTCCGAGGTTATAGTTGCGAAATGAGTGAGTTGGCTTGTCATCCACAAATGGCGGTATCTTGAACATCCTCTTCGAAACGCCCTCCAATTCGGCTGCCCGTCCCTCGCTAACGACTGAGATGGTGACTGAGTCGGTCGGGCGACGGCTTCAAGGAGCTCTTTGGCCAACAGCCCAACTCTCCTACCCTTTCCTGCTGCTTACCGATAACATGCGGGGTCTTGGCCCGTCGCCAGACGAAATGCTGAAGTTATGCGGCACAGGTTCGAGTACACATCTTCTGCACTTTTCAGGGCTGTTACTACGTCGTGAGTGGATCTTGCGGTTTGACTGGACCCGGTATTTAACAACATGATCCAAACGTACACGATTTCTGTCGGATATGAAAGATTCGAACTGTGCTTGGGGATGGCCCGATGACAGGTAGTGCGTGTCTCTTCAAGACTGGAGGGCTTGAGTTGTTCATACCTGCAGTTACGGAGCACGTGTTCAACCGCATGCCCGTTGAATGCGCTCAATTTTACACCCGCAACTGGAGAATCCGTTCACACGTGGAGGCCAGCCGCCGTAAGGTATGGTGTCATGCGGGCTTCTGCGGTATTTGCCTGGTTGGCTTCAATTGGTTGAGGGATCAAAGTGGAGGTTGGGCAACTCAATTGTCAGACACCCATGCATAAGCTTACACACCCACAATCAGCGACATCTCGTACACTTACCACGTATTCGGAGACTCTTGCGTACGAATAATATAGTCTCGGCTATCTCTCTTCATCGTGGTGATTTTATATATGAACCTATTGAAGCCACTGATTTCTCTTCGCATGGAGCCAATGTGTTTTCGGGACCGTCCACAATCAGCAGCCTTCAAGGCATCATAGTGCAATTTGAAAGCTCAGATGCCAATCAGACTCACTCCAATACACTCTCTCTCCAGCATCATCTTTGTACAGTACGAGTTAGATCACCTAAGCAAGTAACCGGCTTCGGCGAAGGGACGTGGTGAATGTTGACTCACAAGTTACTGCTACCATCTACCCAGAGAAACTCACGGTTATTGCTTGGCGCTCACGACCTTCCCTGTGATAGTAGAGGTCGATGCCATTCCACATTGGTCTCTTTAGAGACTTGAATGAGCCATTCAACGGGGTCCAACGCTATGCCAGCGAGTTCATAACGGGTCTCAATGTACAATCAACTGAAAGACCCACCAGGTGGCGTAGTTGATTTGTCCTCCAATTGCGATAGAAAACCTACAACTCACATTCGAATTGATCAGCAGACCCAATAGCGGCATGCATGGCGCGACTCAAACGATAAGATGCCAACAGACCTTTCACTTCTTCGCCTAGTATTCTGTCAAGCAGATCTGACTTTTCGACGGCCGAATTGTAATTTGCAATAATCCATGATCACTTTTGCTACCTGCAGGTTTGATGAAATTGCGAAGAAGGATAAAACCTGGCATACCAGCAATATGGAAGACTTTCCGAATATCGACGAGCTGACCATCCGCCGCGTTGATAATCTGGGAGCTGTGCCAAGAATGAGAGACTGGGCCCCAGTTCCGTGGTTTCCAATCGTGGACATGACAACGTGGTCGCTGACAACACAGTTCTGACAGTCGGAAGTGGAAACACAAGGCAATCATCTTCGGGTACGGTGACCTATTAAATGGTGAGGCAATGAATTGGTTCGCAGCGGAGAGGGTCGCAAAATTGGCGCAGGAGAATGGAGCGCATATGCATGATAAGCCACTAAGACCAGGGTATGTCAGCTCACTCGCCTAGAAACGATTTTGTCTAAAACCAGGCTGGCCAATCGTACCGACGCTTCTGATTCTCAACCATTCACAACATTTGAACACTGCATACGACTGCGGGGTATCATGTTGGCGAAGGCGGTGGCTGGTTTCAATGGTCTGTTGCAGCGTGGCAGCCTTAGTTTGGATAAGTTGGCGCGAGGGCACCCGCCCTGGATTCCCATGTCCATGGCCCCTCTTCTTTTCTTCTAATTATGCGAGTGCTTCACAGCCGCATCGGATTTTCTCTTTTTGCCCTGCGGATCCTCCACGCGACTTCACAACTCGACCTCGTGCATCTGAACCTCCAACGATGACCTGGCGACGGTGACATTCCCATGCCGGAACGCTCCTGTACAGACTTGGTTCTTTTCCGACCAGGCAAAAACACTGGAACCTCTGCGGAGCGGTCCAGTATGCCTGGAACCACGCGCCGTGTTCATATAGTTGATGCAGATGGTAAACCCCAACACTCAGTCGTGAGTTCAGTCTCGAGATCTCCAAGTAGACAGGGCCGCCGATCTTCATCCTCACAATCCACAACAAATCCGGCACCAAGATATCGGCCCTTGCATGCTGCAGCGGGTTCAAGAGCCCCACCAAGATCATCATCATACCACCGACCGTCCGTCAAGGGCAAAGAGCCTTCGTCATTTTGGCGGCAACACAGGCGTCCAACGACTGGCAGGAATAGGGACCATTCACCTGGAGTAGGCCCATCACGTCAATATACTTGGAACCAGGAGCCATCTCAGCCAAACGAAAAGATGCATTCAAGCCCGAACAACGCGACTTATGGGAGTTATGACTACATCGCAGGGGCATATCGTCGTCCAAAGTTTCACGAAAATGTTCCTGGGATGGTTCCTCCTGATTACCATCCACCGGGCCCCTTTATGAACATGAATTCATACAGCTCTATGCCTGGCCGTGCTTGTGGGATGCCGCCGCCGCCCGTAGAACCTGCACATATGCCGTACATGTCATCGCAGGCTTTGCCAAGAGTGCCTCCTCCACCGCCACCGCCTGAAGCCACTTCAAGCCTGTCGCCAGATAAAAATCGGGAAAACGAAGAGATTGAAAGTCTTAGAAGGGAACTAGCAAAAGTCAAAGAAGACCAAAGAGCAAGGGAGGAGCGCCAGAGGCAGAAGGAGTTCGAGAAAAGGGTTCAAGAAGAAGCAGAAAAGCACATGAAGCAGAGAATGGAAGAAATCCGACTTGCTCAGGAGGCCGCCAGAAAGGAGCTCGAGGAAGCAAAAGCACAAATAGAGAAAGCCGCCCGAGAAGCAATCGAAGCTGAAAGGCAAGCTGAAGAACAGCGCCGAATACAGGAACGAGAAGAACTCGAAGAGTGCCAGAGGATCGCTCGAGCGAAACTGGAGGCAGAATTACGTGCCCGAGCCGAGTGGGAGCAGCTGAAAGAACAGGAAGCACTTCGCCTCAGAAAGGATGCTGAAGCAAAGGTGGAAGCCAGGCTGGCACATGAGCAAGAGGAGAGGCGACGTATTCAAGTGGAAGAGGAAGAGAAGGAACGTGTGCGCCAGCAAATCAGAGACGAAGTGCGGCTGGAATTTATGAAACGCGAGAGAAGATACATAAGCTCATCGTCAGAGACCGAGTCTTTCAGCTCACGATCTTCCCTGAGCAGCAGCTACTTGAGTCTGAGTACCACCAGTCGGAGTAGGTCTACTAGCTCAAAGATCTCAGCTAGGTTGAAGGCTCCAAGCTGTAGCTCTTGCAGAGCCACGAAGGCGCTCAGTATCGGCTCATCTGACAATGTCAAGGCTCTGAACCTTCAGACGTCAGACGATGGCTTAGCAGGCAGTACAAAAGGAGACGACAAAACAAAGAACGCAACTCTGGACCCGTTCATGTATCTTGAAAAGACATTAACACCGCCGCCGCCGAACCTGCAAAGAAACGATTTTGAAACGCAAGAGCCATACTGGGCTTGGGAACACTACTCTAGCAGACTACCTTCTGGGTCTATTCCGGAAGATGCAGGATACACATACGCCGATCTAGAGAATCATGCATTACAGGAAGGCCAGCTTGCACCCGAAGACGACGAAAGTGCAAGTTCATCGAGTACTGGGACAGATAGTGACGACAATGGCTCCAGCTTAGGCATGGGGGGTATCTTTGAGCACGAAGCTTCTGACGATGAGGACTCAGATGCCGGGACTGTGATTGCGGCATTCGATAAGCCCAGGCTCACTCCATCGGTTATTCGCGATGGTGGT